GTTTATTTCAGGTTTTTTTTTATGGTGTACTTGCTTGCTCAACTTTTTCTTCCTTCCTGCCTTCCTGTCTTCCCTTTCCTTTCTTTTCTTTTTCTTTTTCTTTTTCTTTTCTTTTTTTTTTTTTCTCCAAGACAGTTTCTTTGTGTAGCCTTGGCTATCCTGGAACTCAGAGGTTTATGGTGTACTTGCTTGCTCAACTTTTTCTTCCTTCCTGCCTTCCTGTTTTCCCTTTCCTTTCTTTTCTTTTTCTTTTTCTTTTCTTTTCTTTTTTTTTCTCCAAGACAGTTTCTTTGTGTAGCCTTGGCTATCCTGGAACTCAGAGGTCCACCTACCTCTGCCTCCCAAGTGCTGGGATTAAAGGCATGTGCCACCAGCATCCAGCCATCAGCTTGCTTTCCTATGTCACTCTGGACCACCTGTCCAGGAACAGCACCACCCATAGTGACCAAGGCCCTCTCACATCAATCATTAATCAGGAAAATGTTCCCACAGTCTTACCTACTGGTGAATTTGGTGGGGAGCTGTAGGATAAAAGAGACAAGGAAAGAACACCCTAATCCTGACTTGACCCCAAGCCAGAGATCAGGGCCAAGAAAAAGAATCTCACCAATTCCTGAGCTTACCCCAAGATTAGGCCACAAAAATCCCACCAATCCCAACGTAACCTGGAAAGCTCTGCCCTTCTCCCAGAAACCCTATATAAAGCCTGCCTTATGCTCAGTTCGATGCTGCTTCTCACTGGAGCAGAGGCAGGCACTCTCCTGTAATTTTCCTGCCCAATAAATCTTTCCCCCTCAGAGCTATAATACTTACAGGAGCATTTGAGCATTTACTCAATTGAGGATCCTTCCTCCCAAATGAATGTAGCTTGTGTCAATTGACAGAAGAAGAAAAAAAAAAAGATAGCCAGCATATATGGCTTCTGTGAACTGAGAAGAGCCTAGGATTAGATTGTGCTAAATATGTTAAGGGACATGGAAGTCACCAAATCTAGTGGAGTTGGATTGGTGACTGTTAGCTTAGGGCTTCTTTATTCTCAGCATAGACTTGAAGACTCTGACCACACTGACCTATAACTGTTACCCACCAGGCTCACTTGATCATCACTATACCTCAGTTCCTTCTGATCCCTGGATTTGGTACTCAGCCATGTTATACATGCACCTTCAACTGCAAGCTGCAGTTCTGGCCATTATTGGAAGCACTTGTTCTAGGAGACAGTGTTTTACATTGACTTGCCCATATGTTTTATAAAGCTACACATACATATATAATCACCATTTCTCAGGGACCTCCTTTATCCCAAGAAGCAAGGAGGAAGGGAGCTGACATTCTTGCTGCCATAGTGTCTAAACAGATGGAGTCTTCAGGATGGCCCCACTGATATTTCATCTCCTCTTATCCAACATCCTTGGGCCCCTGTCCCAGCCCCAGAGGATAAGAGTCCAAGGTGGGCACTGGTGAAGGACCATCTCCAGTTTTTCTCAGAAGCCCCATGGGGCCTTCCCACTAGGGTCCTTAGGCTGATGGAGCTCCCTCATACCCCATGGCCTTAGGAGGCTAGCAGGGAGAGACTGTGCAATCTAGGAAGAACCCTCCATAGCAATGGGAAAAATAAAAGTTGTTAAACCCTGAGGTGAACTCAGAATCCTGTGTTTGTCTACCATTACTCTCCTTTCCAGGTCCATATGCTGCTCATTGCTGCAATCCAGGACAAGAAGTGACTGTGAATGAGAACTTCTGGGAAGACGCTGTGTCTGTAGAGACTGAGGATTAAAACTGCAGTACTGTGAAGAAACTGGAATGTTACTTTGTCTTAGACGGCTTCTAGTCCTCTGGAACAGCCATTCCTTGCCCACTTTTGCTTGGGAACTTACATAAGGTAATAAGGTAATAAAGAGATTGCTACCACTTTATTTCTTTCAGTGACAGAAATACAAATTCTGATAAGGCCTCTAAATATTTCAAATGTAAAATCAGGCCTTGCCTTTTCTTAGAATTAATAGGCTTCCTACTGAAATATGTAAACTCACAAATAGGTCTCAGTGAAAAAGCAAACTCAAAACTACCATGCTGTTGTTACTAAGATTGTTCTTTTACTAACCCTTTACAGAAAGAAGAGGGGGAGGAGGAAGAGGAAGAATGAAGAAGAAGAACATCACAAGGAAAAAAAGTTTTATTCAACCTCATGGTTTTATGTAAACTCACCCAAATACCTAGACAATGTCTAAGTCCCATTCCCTTCATAAATTGGAGCCCAGACATTTGTGCTTTCTCTGGATCCCAATAGGACTGGTAAAGCCATATTGTGAACTGATACCAGAAGACAACAAAAGAGGGACACTATCCTGAATTTCAACTGCATGTAAACTTCATATTATCCACCCCCCAAGACAGGGTTTATCTGTGTAGCCCTAGCTGTCCTGAAACTCTGTAGACCAGGCTGGCCTCAAACTCACAGAGATCCGCCTGCCTCTGCCTCCCAAGTTCTGGGATTAAAGCATGCACCACCAACACCTGGCTTGTTTCTCAGGGATCTTGAAAGATGTGTTTCTGTTTACCAGGAAAGCCGAATCAGTTCAAAGACACCCACCCTACTGACTGTCATATAAAATCCACTTTTTTTCCCTGCCAAATTGCTGCTCCCTATTCT